TCCTATTTGTTCACAGAATTGCCAGTTACAATTTTGAACCTAACACAAACATTTCGATTGAATGTGCTATTGTACCATGTTGATTACTCACAAGAACAGTGCTCTAGCAAGATTGTAGATACTACCAATTCTTACAGTGAACCCTTGACGAACTATTCTATAAAAGCTACATATCTCAAATGAAAAGAAAAAAAGAAGGGCGAAAAATAAGCTATTAAGCAGCTTCATGGGGACATTTCCCTTGTGGTACTCACAATTATTTCAAGATCCGTTTGTTCTAAGCCATTGAATTAAGTACACGAAAAGCTAATATAAGTTGCCCGCCCACTAGAATATGCGTTATATCCACAAGCATTTCAAAGTCATCTTTCTATGTCATGCACATGTATACAATTAATTGAAGTCTCATGATTCACAATCTAATCTCTTTTCTTTATATAAACTTTACTACTCTTTTACGTACCAAACAAAAGTATAGTCATACGCGTCATCGTGATAAAAATTGACTAGCCCTTCACTTATTAGAAACTAGGATATTGTCCTTGTAACATAATTGACTAGCCCTTAAGTTATTAGAAACTAGGATATTGTCCTTGTAACATACATGTATGTAGTCAATGCTATAAAGAAGAAATGGGCTGTGGGCCTTTTACCATGATTTCCCTGAACCAATGAAAATAGGTATATTGCATGAAAGATCATCACTATCATAAGGAAGCTATTTTGTTGGACCTTTCTCTAACAGAGCTCATAAATCATAGAGCCCACAAAATTATTATTAAAGTCATCGCTCACACTCAACCTTTTTAATGTTAGATGGATATTTCTGGGAACCAACACCTACCCTACCCTACCCTACTCACCCCCCACTACCAAAAAAATATTGAAGTGTATTAACCAATCCTTTATTAAATAGAAAATGTCAAGCAAGAAGAACATGAATTCACATCTAGCTATAGCCCACAAAGAAAATACCATAAGAGTACATTAACCCACGAAACAGAAGTAGATAAATCATAAAATACTACTATACAACTCAATGTCAACTTGTATGGAATATTCCAATCCTAACCACTGAAGAAATTATTCAGAAAATCTTTTCTAAAAAACACCATCATTAATATTTTTGCACCAACAACGAATTCGACAGTTCTTGATCAGTTTGTACTTCTCAAACTTACCTAGAATTTGCCTTTTCAACTTATGTTCCATAAATTTCTTCTTTCGTGTTTGGTAAAAATGGATTAGACAGTACCAAATAGTATTAAGCAAGAAAAAAAATCCGTGCAGCATAGCAAACACCCACTTTATATCGGTGCTAAGACGCGGCCATTGCCACCACACCAAGCTTCTGAAGATTAAGCTTCACAACAGTATCAGTGAACATTTTCGTGTCCTCTCCTGTATTCCCATCTGGTATATCCACTATATAAGACTCCAAAACAATGGTGTAAATCTTCCCTTCTTTGTTGAACTCATTGACGGACGTTACAGATCGATAATTATTCAGCCTATGCTCCCCACCCACAACACGAAAACTCAGTATATGCTTCTCATCATCCAAAATCTCAAGTATTTCGGTGCTGGTGGAGGCGGGAATGCCGGAAACCACCGTCAACTCCCTGATGCTGCCGACACCGCCGTCCCCAGTCATGCGACAGCTCTTGATAAAGTGCTTGTATTTTTGTGGGTTGTCGAAGCCGCGCACGAAGGGCCATACTGCCTCCGCCGGCGCATCAATCCGCTGCTTTATCAGAGATGTAGTCGTGTTAGGCAATGGGTCGAACAGGTGGTAGGTGCGAATTACAGGCTCCAGCTCTCGAAGTTCTTCTTCAGTAAGCCCCTGAGGAATTTGGATTCTGTCCATTTGGTACTTCAGTCTTCTCTCTATCTCTATCTCTATCTATATATATTAGTTTGTGCGTGTATATATATAGATAGATAGATAGATGTATTTGTGAAGAAGATGGAGTGGAGATGAACGGAAAAAATGGCTATATATCCTTGGAGGGAATGGGATGAAAGGAGTAGTAGAGTAGTAGACCTTGGCTTAATTCAACTCTCCTTTGTTTCTGTGTATTGACAGAAATACCCTTTGGGTATTAATTTATTACCAACTTGTCAATTGTCTTTTTGCTAAATTAGGGATTACTGTAATAAAATATTATGCCAGTTGAAATCACATTTTTAGCATATTTTGATAAAAGTTAATGCAAAATGAGATTAAAAAATTGTGGATCTCATAAAATATGTGGTTAAATTTCATTGTTAACTTTGACTTATTAAATTTTAATCCGTGTCAAACAGAGGCTATATCATGAGCGATATAGATATAGAAAGGGTATTATTAACCAGTAAAATTGCATAGTAGTCCTTAATGTTTAATGTCTCATACTGATTTGTCCTCAGGCTTAAAAGTTTAATCTTCTATATAACCAACCTTAAAAGTCATTTTGAAGGTTGGGGATAAATCAATAAGGGATTCTGAATGTTGAGGAACTAATCGTGCAATTTTCCCAATTTTTGATTTTTTCTAATTTTGCCCCAATTTGGTTTGGATTAAAGTTCAATTAAATTTCAAATCAAACTCAACAATTAATTTTAACCATACATTTAATGAGATTCACAACTTTTCAACCACACATCTCGTATTTTTTTTTAATTAAAATCAACTAAAAATCTGATTTTAACATCTACCAAATATGGACTTTATGTGTTTAGGGGTTGGTTTTTCAACATAAAGAGATTCACTAAGCAGCCAGAAAAACAGAAAACAAAAGTGATTTCAATAGTAGTAGCGAGCTAAGAGAGGGCAATCTAAATTGTGAAAATTGGATTGTGAAGAAAACAAAACAAGTATCGTGTTGTAAACAAAGCAAAACGGTATAAAAGAAGTATAACATATCAAACTTCAAGATGAAAATATTTTGAAAATACGTTGTAATTCAGATATTTATTGTAAATATTTAACCACCATGACGTTAGTTTTGTTTATTTTTTATGACCAAATAAAAAACACACACACATATATCCCAACTAGAAGAGTCAAAATTCAAATTGATAAATTTTCACGTGATTTTCCCAACATGAGGGGGATGGATAGGGTAGATGACGCGGCAATTAGGGGAAATAAGTTGTGGTTTTATTTAAGGGATTAATAATAGAAAATCCCCTACAAACGTTTTCATTTGCGATATACCTTCTACCAATTGGAAATAGTAGAAAAGTCCCATTTTTGAATTTTTTTTGTGCAAAAATCTCCATACCGTTAGATTTTTCGTTAAAAATAGTAAAAATGTCAAAATTAAAAAGTAATAATTGTAATTTTAGTATCCTAACTTTTTATTCTTTTACAAATTATACCCAAAATTTGAATTTAATTTGTAAAAGAATAAAGAGTTTAGATGCAAAAATTACAATTATTACTTTTTAATTTTGACATTTTTATTGTTTTTAACGGAAAATCTGACGTAGGGGGTTTTCAAACAAAATATTTCAAATAGAAGGGTTTTCTGCAATTTTCGATAGATAGGGGATATATCGCAAATAAGAACATTTATAGGGGGATTTTTCGCTATTAATCCTTTTATTTAAATTTAATTAAATGGGAAGAGAGAGGGATAAAAAGGGAAAAAAGTGGATAAAAAGGAGAAGTGCCCTAGTCGCAATCGTTATAAAGGATGAAGGGTGTAGATTCGTGGATCATGTGACTAACTTATCTGCCCGCGTGATCTATACTTCACTTTGCAGGACTCCCCATCACACCTGGCCCCACCTTTACCCCAACGCCAAACCCTCGTTTACGCTTATTATTTATTATATATTTGTGCAATAGAGGTACAGTCAACAATAGCGATGCGCGGATGGGGCGGGGCCGCGTCGACCCCCATCCATTGGAATGATGATTAAAATATCTTTATTCCTGAGGTGAGAATTAAAATATGAACTATACTACATGTACAATCTTTTTGTACAACATTTTTTACAGCCCCTCACATGGGGTGTGGTTCACAAAGGCTGTATGTACAGCCTTTTTGTTAAAATATATTCATTTCTTGTGTACGGCTACATTATTTTGAAAGAATATATTTTGGAGTAATATATTGATTGAATGTTGTTGAAAAAAAAAGAAAAAAATTATTGGTGTGATAAAAAATATTATTTTATTAAAAAATGTGTGGTTGAAAATGAGAAAAAAAATGAGAATGAAAATTTTAACGTGGCTCAAACATGGGCCTATTTTAATTTTTTTTTTATTTCATTTTTTTTTTCTGTCAATGAAGAATTTGTCCAACCTAGAGATGCAATTTGACTAAATGATTCATGAATCATCTTTTTAAATACGACTTAATTATCAATAGTTGAGACAGTTTTGATTAAAAATACGATCCAATTGCAAACTAAAATTAGGAGTGTTCAAAAGTCTCGAACCGAACCTGACCGAATCGAATCCGAACCGAACCGAACCTGACCAAATTGAATCCGAACCGAACCGAACCTAATCGAGCTGTTTTTCATAAATGAAATACCTGAACGGGTACCCGAATCGAGAACCGATGAGTTTGTGTCGGGTCGGATCTAGAATCTAGTCCAAGAACAGAAGAATCGAAACTAAATAAATTTTTTTATTTTTTATATTGAATTAATTAAATTTTTATATTTTTTTAAAACAAATTAACAAATTAATTAAATAAATAGTTGGTAAGTATTACCAATACTTCAAAATATTTTATTTTTATAACTTTTAATTTATATTTCATTTTCTTTATGCAGGCAGACTACTTGTAGCAAATGAATTTACTTTATATAGTGTTGATGTAATATTAATATCTACTTTTTGGTATTTGTATGCATTAAATTAATCTTATTGGACGGCTAGTTATTTATATATTTTTGAATTAGACTACATTAATTTGTAAAAGTTACAAATGAAATGTCATTAGTTGTATTTATGTAGTGTTGTTGTAAATATTAAAAAATTTAATTATGGTACAGAACAGAACTGAATCGAATCGAATCGAACCAAACGGTTCCATTAGAGATGACAATTTTTCCTGCCCCGAATGGGGCAAAAAACCCTCCCTGAACGGGTTGGCGGGGTGGGGCATGGCGAGATTCGCTGCCCCGTTGCGGGTCGCGGGGAGAAGATGCCCCGCCCCGTGAAGAATTAAAAAAAAAAAAAATTTGTTTTGGACATTTTTTTATTTCAAGTGCTTGCTTTGAATATTGATATAGTTAGTTTGAACATTATTTGATTTGGATTTTAAAATTTTGAATTTGTATTTTAAATAAAAAACAAATGGGGCAAGTCCTCGCCCGGTACCCGCCCACCCCGCCCCGTCTAAGGCGAGGTGGGGCG